GCCCTGAAAAGTAGCACCATTGGGGCCGCCCATCCACTGACCAAACCAGAAGTCGCGTGGTGCAAGCAGGGGGGTGGAGCGTAGGGCGGTGTGATATAGCCAGCGCGGCAGTAGGGAGTCCGGCTTTGGGCACTGGTTAGATTCCCAGGATAGCTGGGAGGTGGCTAGCATGAGGGATTCTGGTCGAGGGGGTCCAAGGAGGCGGTGCATGTGGAGGGCATGTACACAGCGGTGCGCGGTAAGGGGGATCATGCACATACCCGTGTGGTGTGATGGGTGTCCGCTGCGGGTTTTCCATTGTGGGCGTTGTGGTCCAGGCCATAGTTGCGCTATGGTCGTGCCATGTCCAGGAATGTATATGTCTTGGTCTGGGAGCCAGCCTTGTGGAAGGACCGCTTGTGTAGCGAGGAGGATGTGTTGGGATAGTGGGTCGGCCTTGGGGCAGGTGGGAGTTGTGAATCGGCGTTCCTGCATGTCAGGGAGATCGGGGCACGTGCGGCAGTGGGCCTCCCAGCGTGGTTGTATGCGGTGTTTTCAGGTGTTGGCGTGTAAAGTATAGCAGATGGCACGCCAGTAGAAGTTGAGGGCAGGGGGGTCCCATTTACAGATGTCCCCGGTGGGGAGTCGGAGTGGCTGGATAGTCCGGCGGGTGTCTGGTTTTCGGGCTGCACCTTGGGCCAATCCCGACGACCGTACACTACACCCAGCCATGGGGCCGTCGCCCCGGTGACCGGCCTGTCGTGTTCATCACGTAGCTCCCAGGAGTCTGGGATAATGAGGTGCGCATAATTCGTAAGGGGAATAAGCTGGTGGGCTAGGGTGGCAAGGGAGTTCGCTTCGGCGAGCAATAGGCGTTTTGTACGGAGGGTGGGGTCAGTCGTGTCATCGGGGTCTTGGTGCGATCGGATCCAGTCGCCGGTAAAGGTTACAGTGTCTGTGAAGAGCGCCATGAGTGAGCGGAGTTCAACCCTGTAGATGTTGCTGTATCGTAGCCCTGTGTGGGGGCAAAATATGTGCGACCGAGTGGGTGTGTGAGGTATGGTAGGGACGTGCGATATGGGGTTGGCAGTGGGCGAGGCAGGGGTTGGGTGGCAGGGTGGGGCCCCCACTGGAGCGTTTGTTGCCGAAGTACCGGTGGGGCGGGTGGCTCAGCTTTGGGGATAGCGTCCCAAATGGGT